GCAGACACACTTCCTGAGCTGGTAAATGGGGCCCCAAGTCTGAATTTAAAATGTCCATCCTGGAGCCTCACACCTGAGCCAGAGAGCACTTTGCCGTCCGAATCCCTGACGTTCTTCTCGTGTCCCTAGTCCTGGGAGGGCCACGCTCGCTCACTCATCTGCTCCTCCGTCCGGCTCTGTGCCAGGCCCTGGGGACACAGCCGTGATTTCACATGCATTCGCTGAGCACTGACTGTGCCGGGCCCTGTGCTGGGCACTGCGGGGACAATGTGAACGAAAGGAGGCAGATGGCCTGCAGATACATCGGCATGGTGCCAAGGGTGGGAAATGCTGTGGAGAGGGCAGGGTGAGGGGCGGGGGCGCGAGGTCCGCTGTGCTGTTTGAGGTGGTTCCGCAGAGGGGTGCCCCCAGGAAGGCTCGCCAAGACCTGAGGTTGGGGCCATATGCCTTGCGGATCCCTAGGAGAGGGAAAAGCAGGCCCAGTGGAGGGAGCTGCAAATGCGAAGGCCTGGAGGCTAGAACAGGCTTAGCAGGTTCTCCCACTGGCATGGATGAGGTATTCTCTTTCCTCCAGGAGCTCACAGTCCAGTGAGGGGAAAAACAGTAAATGATATAACAGAAGTTGATATAACTAAGTCTTAATAGAAATAGGCTGAAAAAATGCTACTGGAATGCAAAGTACAGAGCAATTGTAGGGGAGTTGGGAAACGCATCCCTGAGGAGGTGACATTTGGGTTGGGCTTTGGTGCACGAGTAGGAGTTTGCTGGGCGACTGAGGGGAAGAGCCACTTGGATGAACCAGTGTTTTCAAAGGCACAAGACGTGTGGGGGGAGCGACCCACAGGTCCTCTTCCTGTAGCATTAGCCATTTCTGGAAGGGAAAGAACATTCTTTTAGAGGCTTTTCTTTCCTTTTCCCCAGCCTCAACCTCTGGAGAGTGGAAAGGGAGGATGTTGCAAGATGGGGAGGGGATTTCTGTGCCTTGCTTTATCTGCATTCCTCCCTCCCTCCTTCTGCTTTTTTTAAGCTTTGGGGAGTCATGGGGATTTTAAGCTGCTGGGGATGAGCACAGAAGTCAGAAGGGTTTTCAGTTGGATTTCTCAACCACAGGTCACTGGCCTGGAGCCCATCCAGCCCGTAAAACTATGATGATGCAACAGGATTTCAGGAAGGCCTCCGGAAATGGGCTCCCAGGTCAGCAGGTGGAATTTGGATCTAGGCACACCCTGTAACTGTCGGCTCCAGAGGCCTTCCGACCTCTTCCTTCCCCAGATCTCACTCAGGCTTCGCCTGTTCACCCTCAGAAGAGGGGGCGGGCGGCACACCCCCTGCCCCTCACCTCACACCTGAGTCGGAATCAGACCTGGGATCAGCCTCGTTGCAGCTGGCCTCTAGCAAAGTTCTTGAAGCTGCTGAAAATAGAAACTTGTGGGACTCCACATAACTGTGAAATGCAAACACCATTATCTTTCAGTCTAGGGCACCAAGGAGTCAAGTAAACAGGGGACATTTCTCCCAGCTAGGCTACAGTTAGCACTGGGCCTGCAAACAGACTGCTAATGAAATTGAAGAGTCCCTGTTTGGTGGCCCCAGATCCGTAGTGTCCCAAGGATCACCCAGGGCTGAGCAGCCACTAGAAGTACAATGCCACATACATGTATAACTTTAAGTTTCCGAGTAGCCACATTAAAAAAAGTAAAAAGAGCCCAGCCAGGCATGGCTCAGCTGTTGAGCGTTGACCTAGGATCCAGGAGGTCAGGGTTTGATTCCCGGTCGGGGCACATGCCCGGGTTGCGGGCTGCAGCCGATCAATGACTCTCATCATTGGTGTTTCTCTCTCTCTCTCCCCCCCTTTCTCTCTCTGAAATCAATAAAGATATACTTAAAAAACACATACACACAAAAAAAAGGTAAAAAGAGCCGTAGCTGGTTTGGCTCAGTGGTTAGTGTCAGTTCTCCGACTGAATGGCCCCAGGCTTGATTCCAGGCAAGGGCATGTATCGGTTGCAGGCCCCATCCCTGGCCCAGTTGGGGTGAGTGCGGGAGGCAACCAATTGGTGTTTCTCTCTCTCCCCCCCTTCCACTCTCTCTCTGAAAAGCAGTGGAAAAAATATCCTCGGGTGGGGATTAAAAAGTAATAAGAAACGGATGAGATGAATGTTACCAGCATGATGAATGGAGCCCACTGTATCTCAAATGGTATCGTTTTTCATCTCACATGTAATCAGGATAGAAAAATTATTCATGAGATATTCTGCATTAATTTCTCATAAAGCCGTCAAAACCCAGTGTGTATTTTACTCTTAGGGCGCACGTACGAATTCAGATCGGCCACATTTCAAGGGCTGGGTAGCTCCGTGGGACTGGTGGTTCCTGTGTTGGACCAGCGGAGCTTACAGGTGGGGAGACGGAGGCCGCCAGGTGCGGGGCGGGGCGGGGCCAG